TGCCTCAAGCTCCCGGGTAGCTGGGACTACAGGCATGCACCACCACACACGGCTAATTTTTGTATTTTTAGTAGAGATAGGGTTTCACCATGTTGGCCAGGCTGGTCTTGAACTCCTGACCTCAAATGATCCCCCTGCCTCAGCCTCCCAAAATGTTAGGATTACAGGTGTGAGCCACTGCACTCAGCCTGATGTTAAATAACTCTTTAAATGATTGTTGCAAACACTGTTGGTGTCTCACCCAGAGGACCTTCACCACCAATGTGCCGGTCCCAGCTGGTGATTCGATGGTGGTCAAGGCTTAGATGCCTGTGTTCTCTGGAGAATTGCACTTGTCTGGCAGGAGTCAGCTAGCCTAGAAACACCCCCACCAACAGGGGTGGCCAATGATTGCCTGATTTAGGCATACAGAGGGTCAGCCCCAGCCGGGCATAGTGCCTCACAGCTGGAATCCTAGCGCTTTGGGAGACTGAGACAGGAGGATCACTTAAGCCCAGGAGTTCAAGACCAGCCTGAGCAACAGAGAGAACCCTCCCATCTCCACAAAAAATTTACAAATTAGCTGGGCGTGGTGGTGCTGCTTTGAACTATGATCATAGCACTGCACTCCAGCCTGGCTGACAGAGTGAGATCCTGTCTTAAAAAAAAAAAAAGAATGGCTGGGCGAGGTGGCTCACACCTGTAATCCCAGCACTTTGGGAGGCCGATACAGGCGGTTCACGAGGTCAGGACTTCGAGACCAGCCTGACCTACATGGTGAAATCCCATCTCTACAAAAAACAGAAAAATTATCCAGGTGTGGTGACACGCACCTGTAGACCCAGCTACTCAGGAGGCTGAGTCAGGAGAACTGCTTGAACCAGGAAGGTGGAGGTTACAGTGAGCCGAGATTGAGCCATTGCACTCCAGCCTGGGCAATAAGAGCAAAACTCCATTTTGAAAAAAAAGGGGGCATGGATGCAGCACATGTGTTAAATGATGCACACTTAAGGAATCTACATGTCAGTTTTGTTTGCAAATAAACCAAATGCCAATTACTGAAGGAATGTTTACATTAATAATGATATCCATACAATAGAATTCTCTGCAGCCCTTATTTTTTTTAAATTTTTTTTTTTTTTTTTGAGACGGAGTTTCACTCTTGTTACCCAGGCTGGAGTGCAATGGCGCGATCTCGGCTCACCGCAACCTCCGCCTCCTGGGTTCAGGCAATTCTTCTCCTGCCTCAACCTCCTCAGTAGCTGGGATTACAGGCATGCACCACCATGCCCAGCTAATGTTTTTGTATTTTTAGTAGAGACGGGGTTCCACCATGTTGACCAGGATGATCTTGATCTCTTGACCTTGTGATCCACCCGCCTCAGCCTCCCAAAGTGCTGGGATTACAGGCTTGAGCCACCGCGCCCGGCTTTTTAAAAATTTTTTGCAGAGGTAGGATCTTGCTGTGTTCCCCAGGCTGGTCTCAAACTCCTGGCCTTAAGCCGTCCTCCCACCTCAGCACCCCCATCTGCTAGGATTACAGGCACTTCCTGTCTCTAGCAAAATACAAAAATTAGGCCAGGCATGGTGGCTCACGCCTGTGATCCCAGCACTTTGGGAGGCCGAGGCGGGTGGATCACCTGAGGTCGAGACCAGCCCGGCCAACATGGTGAAACCCCATCTCTACTAAAAATACAAAAATTAGCTGGGCATGATGGTGGGCACCTGTAATCCCAGGTACTCAGGAGGCTGAGGCAGGAGAATCACTTGAACCTGGAGGCAGAGGTTGCAGTGAGCTGAGATTGCATCACTATACTCCAGCCTGGATAACAGAGTGAGACGCTCTCTCAGAGAAAACAAACTAAAAAAAAAGAAAAAAGAGGC